CCACCCGTGGCCGCCGAGGACGCGCGTGTGGGTTAGCGATTCGAATCTCACACCTTCGTGACATACGTTAACATCACGTTCGCGGCCACTTCCTTAAATCACACGACGCGCCACTTCTCGCCGACGTTCTCGTTCGGGCGCGACAAACGCGGCTTCAGCTTAACTTCCTAATTGATACTGAACTAACGTAACTGTGATACATCGCGATTTCCTTATTGATTTCAAGAAGAAGTTCTCGATTTCAGTCACGATGTGTGACTCTCGTGAAATAACGTTGGACTGTTTATTGCGATAAATATTACCGCGTGCCTCGGTGGTCGAGCCGGTGAGACGTCCGCCTAGTGGCAGGTCCAGGTTCAAACCTTGGCTTAGGTAAAATTTTTCGCAATAAATTTAAAAATTAAATGGAAGTAATAATAGAAGGGACTCAGAGCCTAGACAAGGTTGTACCGTCAAAAAATTTTTCTAATGGACGACAATAACTTTCGGTCCTAACTGGACCAGCTTCAGTACATAAAAGAAAGATATAAATTAACGCATGAGAGATGACGGAATACAAATGATACGAGAAATCACGCAGTCAGTAATGTAAAATATAAAAAAGTAATTGGTACGATCGTACATAAAACGCGACGCAAACGTGTGGAACATAAGTCACAGGAGAATAACGATAATGTTATATTTCTTTTTGCGTATTTGGCGCTGGAAATTATTCCCGCTGCAGGTTCTTTGATCGTCTGAAATTTCTTTCGACAAGAATGTCATAATATCCATAATTTTCGAATAATTAAATACCAAAGATAAAGAAATAAGGGAGGCTTCTAAGTTTTAGGGCAAGTGGCAATAATATATTCAATAATTGAAGTTTATTTCGCACAGCCTTCATGCATTCTTAGAATTTCTACTTGTTACCAATTTTCAAAAATATGCAACGCTAAACAAAGATAAACGACAAGTATTGCTCCAGGGAGAACGGACCGGCCAGAGAGATCGCGATTAGAACACGTCCCGTGAAATTCCGGGACACCCTGTATATTTAATGGACCTCGAAGTCGAGTATCCAGCGTGTGCAGAAAATTATTGCGTTACGGGGGACTCCGGGACAAGCACGGACGCTGAATACACGTGCGTTGAAGTCATCGGCGCGGCGGCATCGCGGGATATATACCTCGCCGTACGTCTCTGGACCCAGACGCGAACCCCATTGCGCGATAATTGAAGTCACGCTTCGTGGGAAGCGCGGCCTTCGCAGATAGAAGTGCCGTCGCACAAAGGGTTAGACAAAGGGCGTGCTTGAGCGTTTCGACGGTATGACTCCGTATGCCGCCTTCACAACCCTGCGGTGATCTTCAGGGGCCGGGCAAAAAGCCGTCGACGTGGACGAAGCCCGAGGATGCCGTCCGCGCGACGAAAAAGAGGACAGTTTTGGCCCGTAAGAGAGCGCGGGGGAGAAGCAGCCCGAGAGGGACCCGGGCCCCCGGACGGCCCCAGGGAGGCCACGAAGACGGTGCGCGGGACCAGAAAAGAACGGGCCTCGAAAGCGGAACAAAAACGTCCGAACTGCAGAGTCGGCGATTCCCGAAGAGTCGCGGATCCCATAACGAATGACGAAGGTGGGAGGAGAAAAAGATACGACGAGAGGAAAGGAAGAGAAATGGACGCGGAAAAAGAGAGAAGGGAGAGAGAGAGATGCTATTTATTACGTATATTGGGGCTGACATGAGTCTTTAGGAATATCGGATTGTAAATAATTAATAATGTTAAAGAGAAGACAAATTGTCAAAATTATCACTTTTCACAGAAAATATTATAAAACGAAAGATTATCGAAAGCTCCAATTTTGGTTGGTTTTCATAAATTAACGTTTAATAATTTGTCTCATTTATGATCCCAACACTTTGTTTGGATAGGACGAAAGCTGGCAAATATTTTTCCACGTTGCGATTCAAAACGTGATCTCTAACGGAGGGAATCGAAGAAAATATTTGTAATCCTTTGTCATCCAATTTTTCTGATCTCTATAATACAAGCTTTTTTCAAGCTGAGAGAAATCAATCCTTTGTTTGTTACCTTGACAGCAACATCGATTGGGACTTCACCGCAATAGCAAAAGGCGGTACACGAGGTGCTGTATAAAAGAATCATGTTTCTCGAAAGCAACATTACCAAATAAAAGATTAAATTTAAGAAAAAGAGAGATAAACGTGTGTGGATGAAGAGAAGCCAAGGGCGACGGTAGGCGGCTTGAAAGAGACGGAAGGGAGGGGGAAAGGACAGAGGGAAGGATCTTCAGAAATAAAGCGGCGTTGACGCACACCGGGGGTAGAGATGGGACCGACTGCGCGCTTCTCAGCGGTCCTAAGGCCCTGGTGCGCGTGCAGAGGTAAGGGCTGCGCTCGCTCGTCCGAGATCAAGTTTTTCTCGAGTCTTCGAGCCATCGGGAGAGTGTGAGAGAGAGAAGGGGGGAGGAAGAGAGAGAGAGAGAGAGGCCGGAGGCCCGAACTCGAATCCGAGTTGATTTCCTGGCACGCGGTTCATCTTGTCGTTTATTCCTCTCCCGCTCTCTCTTACTCTTTCTCTATCTCCCTTCCTCTACCCGTTACAACCGTCTTCTCTTCCTCGTCTCTCGCCGTTTCCCTGCCCTCCAATCCCAGAATGTGGCAGGACTGGAGCACAGATGGGATATCGGTAACACGAGGGCGCCAATTTCGAGATTCCCTATTTTCTAGGTAGCGCCTTACGCAAAACAAAAGCAGAATGGAATAGTAGTGTTCAACTGCGGTTAATTTTTGGGCTTCCGAAAAATTCAAGATTTACAAAAAAACGTGAGATTGAAAAGAAATTGAAAATATGAGAAAATTTCAGGAAAATATCAGATTTCTCATATACATTCAAGAGTTAAAAGAATTATCAAATATGTGCTAAAACAAATTCATTTAATTTCAGAATGTAAAAGTAGAAAAGAAGAAATAATTGACGGACTAATGGAAAAGTGTGACATTATTCAAGATTCAAAATTTTAAGTTGTTTCAATAAAATTATAAAAATAAAACCGAAATACGCAGCTCTGTCATCCGCTTGCATCTCCAATTAGACAAAGTCTCTTATCTCTCTCTCTCTCCCTCTCACTTTTTCCCCCTCTCGTGAAATCACCGGCTATCAATACTTTATCAAAAATGTCAAATTCCCCAAAAGTTCTATCGCCGAAGGCAAGATTGCGAATTTATGAGACACCCTGTACAAGTGCAGAGTAAAAAAGTTCGAATTAATTAGGATATGCTTCGTTCTAATAAAACGAGACCAGACGGCGACGGTGGTGGCGGTGGCGGTGCGGCGCGGTGCTTTCGTATAAATTTGAAACGCGCCCTGTAATTTGAGAAAACGTCCCGGGTCCTAAGCCCTATTTATGCAGCACTGAACCGGCTGTAAACCGTTCGTATTCACGATCTTCTCCTCCCCCTCTCCCACCTCCTCCTCCTCCTCCTCCTTCTCCTTCTCTTCCTCTACATCCTCTTTCTCTTCCTACCGCAAAAGAAGCACGTCCTTTTCCCCGCGTGCGCGTTGTCCTTCCATCTATCGCCTCTCATCTCCAAAGATTCCTCTATTCCTTGCTCCCTTCGTCACTTTTTCTTTCTCTCTCTCTCTCTTTCTCACCGTCCCTTTATCCCTCTGTATATCACTCTATCGCCGGCTTTAATTGCATTAAGGGTATTGTTGCGTAACGCAATTCTCAGTCGGTCGAATTATCGCTTGTCTGGCGAGAGAAAGACACGCGGCGCGCGTACGTTGCCGCTCTAATTATTGTGTCATCGAGAGTGAGAAGGAGAAATTGATGAATGCGGGAATAGTATCGAGAGAAGAACCCAAGTAGAAATAATGTTAATGGGGAAATCTCCCTCCCAAAGGCTTTTTAATGATAATATCGTTTTATAATTTTTATACGTCGGTCAAAATTTTTAAAAAAGACTTCGAAACAGAGGCAAATTAAGTTATAAATTATTTTAATTCTGTTTTTCATTTATAGTTTATAGCCAATTATGTATTTATAAGGAACAGAGAATATTTAAATAAAACTTAAAAGCAGGAAGTTTGAGCAAGTAAATTCTACCAATTTGTTCGAAAAATATATACAATACATATGCATATATTCGTATACATGTATATATTTGTCGACTTAAAGAGTACTGAAGAGTTTCTTTCAATGTCCGATACAACATTATCTCCCAAGTAATTAATCATGAGCGTAAAGTTGTTAGCTGTATTCCGCAAATACACTTTCTGCCCATTTAATTATAGCGGTAACGAAAATACGTGAAATAGAGTCTGAGAACTTGTGCGCGTATCCTCGAATTTCTGTGTCACTCTCATGAAGAGCGAACAAAATTGATTTGATTAATTAATGCTCAATTCTACATTGCAGAGAAGCAGACGTATGAAACTGACTGCAATTGCATTGTATATTGTCAGTGTTAGGGTAGCTATGATTCTGAAGTGAGTCTCACGCAAGCATTACGCTACACATAAATTTAAGACGATTAAACGTGATTATGAAAATAATATAACAATTCTGTTCCCCGACGATTATAGTCATTTATGGCCTGTACATATGTTTTAATTTAAATCATCTCATCAGCACAGCTTAGAATAAAAATAAATGCATAGAGATGATCTATCAAATTAAATGTCTGAATGATTCCGGCGCCAATCATGCTGTCACGTCTATCTCGCGCGGTATCAATTCAGCAATTATGTATATATAGGTATAATAGCCCCGCTGAATCTCGCGCCGCGGACGACAATCCGGATTCACCCGGTCGCTCGCCCGCCTCGCGAGAAGGGGTCTTATCCGGCAATCGAGAAATTACATTACGCGAGAGCGCGGGACGGGGGACTGTGGCACGGCGCACAAAAAGCACCGAATATCTTTCAGGAGCCGACGAAGGAAGCATCATTAATATCACCGGGACGATCAATCAAAAAGCCAAGCGGCGTGGACTTACCTTGGTGGACGTCGTACTGGGCCTGGTGCCGCCGATGCCGATGGCATATATCTCCACCTCGTACCACTGGACGCCGGTCTCGCGATCGAGCTGGGCCGCGGTGGACAGCACACCGGTCTTCGCGTCGATGTCGAATAGCCGATCGACCTGGGGCCGGTCGCCGGCGGTCACGTTCGTCACGTAATACTCGAGCTCGACGTTGGATCGACGGCTACGCGCGCTCACTCGCAAAACACTGGTGCCGATCGGCTCGTTCTCGTAAACGTTGCCCTCAATCTGACCACGGTGCTCCCAAATCGGCTGATCGTCACCGCCCTCGCCCGGTACGATCAAGGTCACATAAGTCTCGGACGAGCGACGCTCCGCCTGGACCGCCTCGTCCGTCGCTCGGACGCCCACCTGATATTTGGAGTAGCTTCGTGCAAAGAGGCTACTGTTCGAGGTGAATTGCGAAGGTATCATGGAGAGCTGACCGCTGCTCTGATGGATCTGGAACATATCCGAGTAGTTGGAACGGAGTAGCTCGTACGTCACTATGCCGTTGGTGCTAGAATCGAGATCGCGAGCGACCAGCTGCGTGACCACGACATCCTCGGTCAAAGATTCATGGTAGTTGAAGTTGCCGGCGCGCATAGGCGGCAACACCACCGCCGACATGCTGACGAAGATCGGCGCGTTGTCATTGGCATCTTCGACAATCACGATCACCAGTTTCTCGGCGGACAGCCGTGCACTTGGCGGATACGCTTGATCAGTGGCGATCACCGTCAGCTTGAAAGTGTCCACCTCCTCGCGATCGATCGGGAGCAGCGTATGGATCACTCCGCTCACCGAGTTGATACCGAAGCGCCGCACCTCATCCTCCGGGTCCTGGCTGAGGATCGAGTACCTGACCACGCCGTTCTGTTCCGAGTCCGGATCCTCGGCGGTAATGGTGACGATCGGCGTTCGCACGGGGATACCCTCGCGTATCTGACGTACTATCGCTGTATTCGGAAACACTGGCGGGTTGTCGTTGGTATCGATCACGTCGACGGTCAGCCTGGTGATGGAGCTGAGCCGCGGATGACCTCCGTCGCTGCACGTGACGTTGAGACTGTACTGTGCCAGCTCTTCGTAATCGAGCGGCTTCCTCAGGTACAGAATTCCAGTCAGCGGATCGATATAGAACGTGTCCCTTTTATTACCGGCCGATATAGAGAATGCCAGCTCGCTGTTGGTCCCCAGATCGTTGTCGGTGGCCTTGAAACGCAAGAGCTCGGTGTTGATTGGCGTGGTCTCCAGCACGGAGATCATCGACTTGTTGTCGGTGAAGCGCGGCGTGTTATCGTTCTCATCGAGCACCTCGATGTGGACGGTCGTGCTAGACGACAGTCGCGTCTCCAGACCGGCATCGTGCGCCACGACGGTCAGCACGTAGGTGTCGGACGTTTCGCGATCGAGCTCCTTCATCAGCGAGATCTGCCCGGTGGCCTCGTCTATCACGAAATGACCATGCTGATTACCGTCCTCCAGCGAATAGAACACGTCGCCGTTCAAGCCCTCGTCCGCATCGGTCGTGTACACTCTCAGCAGCTGCGTGCCGATCACGGCACCCTCGCTCACCTGTACCCGATAGGGCAGACGCTGAAACTGCGGCACATTGTCGTTAACATCGGTGATGTAGATGGTGACCTTGACGCGGTCGCGAAGGCGGTTAACGCCATTGTCGGTGACGGTAGCTTCCAGATTGATATAGCTGTCGCCGGTATTGGTCACCAGAAGTTCGCGGTCGAACACGCGCAGCGATCTGACGAAACCATTCCTCGGGTCGACCACGAAATCCTGCTGGCTGGCCGGCAGCGAGAACATGAGGTCGGCGTTGCGGCCGACGTCGCGATCAGTAGCCAGTAGCTTGCCGACGAAGGTGTCGGGCGGCTCGTTCTCACGTAGATGAAAGCTGAAACTGCTGTTGGTGAACTCGGGCGCGTTGTCGTTCTCATCGATCACGTGCACCACCACCGGGACCACGGAGCTCCGCGATGGGCTGCCCTGGTCGGACGCGGTGACTTCGAGCGCGTAATAGTCCCGTTCCTCGCGATCGAGCGCGTTCTTCACATACAGCTGGCCATCCGGAAAGATGCCGAAGCGACCCTCCGCATTGCCGTCGGTAACGCTGTACAATATCCTGCCGTTGGCGTCGAGGTCCGCGTCTTGAGCTGTTAGCGAGAAGAAGCGTTCGTTGACCGGAGTGGATTCCGGCAGCGAAGTCTCGTAGCTGGCCAGTCGAAAAACCGGCGTGTGATCGTTGACATCTTCGATCGTCACGCGGATTTGGTGCTGGGCGGACAGCGGTTGCTTGCCGGAATCGGTCGCCGTCACTTCTAGATGGAGAACCGTACCGGGCGGCGCACGAATCGGCTTGTCCAGGTAGATGATGCCCGAGTTTTCGGCGACCCTGAACTGCCCGCCCGGATTATGCGTCAAGGAATAAACAATTCTGGCATTGGCGCCGGTGTCACGATCCCTGGCTCGGGCCAGACACACCTCCTGCCCCACCGCCGCGTTCTCTCGCAAGAGGATCTCGTCGCCCCGTTCACCTCTGGGAAACCTTGGCGGGTTATCGTTGACGTCCTGCACGGTAATGTTGACGGTTGTCTGGCCGTACGCGAAATTTGCGTGCGCCGACAGTTGCAGGCTGTAATAGGCGACACGTTCGCGGTCCAGACAGCCGGCGGTGCTGATGACGCCGGTATTCTCATCGATTCTGAAGTTGCCCTTGGGATCACCGAACACTATGGCATAGCTCACTTTATCCGTGTTGCCGTACTGCGTAACATGTACCGTGCCGACCTCCCGACTACTAGGCGAGACGGAATCGCAATCGCCACGATCCTCGAAAACGCGAAACTCATAGCCGTTGTAAGTGTCGAACTCGAGATGCTCCAGATCCTCCTCGCGTATGATTTCTACCACGGCGTTCTTAGCTGCCACCCGATCGCCAGTGTCCTTCGCTGAGATGGTCAATTCATACAGAGTCTCGTGCATAGCCCGTAGAGAACCTTGCAGGACAATCTCGCCTGTCCTTTCCTCCACCATGAAGAGGCCCTCGCCGCCGGATTCCAAAGTGTACCTCACCTGAGCATTCTCCCGAGCATCGGCGTCGGTCGCCGTCACCTTACCTATCGTCGTACCTGGCGGAGCATCTTCAGAGATGGGCATCAAATATCTCCAAGGATAGAAGATCGGTGAGTTATCGTTAATGTCCTCCAACGTTAGCACCACGGTGGCGGTCGAAGACTGCACCGGCGTGCCTTGATCCTTCGCTATCACTAGAATGCGATATGCCGCTATGGTTTCCCGGTCCAGGGCGACCATGGTCATCAGCTGACCGCTCAGGGCGTCCAGAGCGAAGGTCTTTGGATAATCACGCAAGACGCTGGAGTGAAAGCTATACGTGACGCTACCGTTGGTACCCTGATCGCTATCGACAGCCGATAGCCTGGCTACCTGACTACAGGGCGGCGTGTTCTCCGATAGCGTGACCTCGACGACGTTCTCGGTGAAGCGTGGCGCCTCATCGTTTTCATCGAGAATCGTTACCTTGAGCTGCGTGGACGCGTACTTAGTATTTGGACCGCCGTCTCGCGCCGATACGTGTAACACGATGCTACCTTGTACCTCGCGGTCCAGAGTAGCCACGGTGGTAACCAGGCCGGTGTCGGTGTCGATGGCGAACCAATCCTGCTCATTACCCTCACCGAACTCGTAGTAAATCCGCGCGTTCAGCCCGGAATCCGCGTCCGTGGCCGAGATGCTAGCGACGAAGCTGCCGATCGGTGCGAGTTCCGACAGCACCGCCGAGTACTCGCTTTGCTGAAATACCGGCTCGTGATCGTTGATGTCATTCACACGGATCACGAGATAGGCTGTGCCCGATCTAGGCGGCGTACCATCGTCGGTGGCGACCAGTGTAAGATTATATTTAGGTATTTCCTCGCGGTCCAATCGACCGGCGACCCGCACGATGTCGAAGCTATCCATTCTCTGCAGCCGAAAGTGGCCCAACTCATTGCCGGCACGTATCTCCACGCTGGTCTTGCCGTTCAGACCCTCGTCGTCATCGAGCACCGATACCGCCGCGACGATCGCGTCCTTAACGGCGTTTTCGTCGACGGTAGCGAAGCGCGAACTCGGTGGAAAGTAGCTGAATTTAATGACGGGATCGTGATCGTTCGCGTCCAATACATTCACCGTCACGTAAGTACGACCGTCCTGTCTGGGCGAACCGTGATCGCGAGCGAAGACCGTGATGACGCAGCTCTTGGGGCAACCGCCGCTCGGTTGGTCCACCGTGCAACGTTGTTGGGGGCAATTCAAAGGCTCGGCTGTCGTGATCGCGCCGGTCTCTGGATCGATTGTGAACTTGCGCTCGGTATCCGGCAGATAATACGTCAGCTTGGCATTGTCTTCCGTATCCTTATCGGTGGCGTTCACCGTCAACACATTGGTGCCGACTGGCGCGCTCTCGTTCAACGTCACCACGTAATCGCTCTGTTGGAACACGGGCGGATTGTCGTTCACGTCTAGCACCGTAACGTTCACCAGCAGATAACCCAGTCGCGGCGGTCGGCCGCGATCGCGGGCACACACATTGAGCGAATAGAATTCCACCTGTTCGCGATCGAGCTTGCCGGTAGTCTCGAGGTGGAGGTACGACGTCTCACCTGTTGGATTGCCAGTGACTTCCAGACGGAACTTGCCATCCGTATTGCCGTCGACGATAAAATAATCGTCCAGCACGCCGTTTTCCGGTGTATCCCGGTCGGTCGCCGCATCCAACAGCAGCTTGGTACCCGCCACGGCTGATTCTGAGAAGCTAATCGCGATGCTGGGCTCCGGAAATTCTGGATTGTTGTCGTTAATATCGAGCACCAGGATTCGCACCTCGATCGGATAGGTCGGTTGACTCGAGAGCACGACCAGATCGAACCGATCGCTGACGAGAGCTTCACGATCGAGAACTTTAGCCGTTCTTATTTTGCCATTCTCCGGGTCGAGCACGAACTCCTGGGGCGGCTCATTGAATCTGTACGTGAAGTCAGGCTTCACCGGTATCATGCCGACCAGGGTGCCCTTGGGCTCGCCCTCCCTGATCTCCAGCTGGACTCGCGTGTCGACCGCTCTGCTCTGCATCGCCAGACCATCCTGCGGCAACATCGGTGACCTTCGTGGCACTAACCGCGTGACCCTTTGAGGTAGGTTGCGCGAAATAAAATAGTTGTTGGACGCGGCCACTGCCACCGTCGCCGTCGCCGCCACCGCACCCGTCGCCGCGTCCTGGCCGACGACCTGGCCGCCATTTTGGTCCACCACCAACAGTAGTCCCAGGAGCAGGGTCAGGATCATCGATCCCCTTATGATCATCTCTTCTGTCTCGCCGCGACACGCCCACCTGCCTTAGCCAAAACTCGGCTCACGGTGACTCGAGTCGTAGGCGTAAAATCGCGCGCTCCGATTACGCACTACCTGTCGTTCTTCCTCCTCATGGTCGTGGCCGGCGATAATCCAGTCGTCGTCTTCCGCGTCTACGTACCGGCGCATTGCACGTATCGCGACATTCCGCCAAGGACGGAGATTAATCGCGCGCGACGACGTGAACCGCCGTCCTCTGTCCGGCGATGCGTCGCATTTTTTTTCCCCACCGGGACCAAAGTCCCGATTTAAACCCGGAGCTGGTGGGTGCTTTCTTTTCCGTCTTTCTTCCTCTTCTTCTTCTTCGTGTCTGTTTCTCTCTCTGTCTCTCTCTCTCTTGCACACACACTTTCTTTCCTTATTTTTCTCTCTCTCTCTTTCGTTCTTTCCTCCTTTACTCCTCCTTTCCTTCGCCGCTAAAAGTCAAGTGTATACGAGAGGAGACTTCACCCGGCAGAGGGGGCAGTGACCCGCCGAGAGCCGCGCCTCGCGAAACGCGCGTCTGCGGATGTTCGCGAATGCTTCGCGGGTGCGAGAGCGGAAGATTTTCCGATTAGCAATCGTGATTTGAAATCGAGAGTACACGTATCTTCCTCCCTCCGCAATAGATTCTCCTCTGAAGAGACTGCTCTCCTTTTCCAGCTCTTGCGCTGCACGCACATCTACGTCACGTGCTTCGCTCTGTCATATTGCATTTTCCGAACGACGAATCTCTCTCTCTCTCTCTCTCGAAGAGGGATGACCGACACATCAACGAGCAACGATTTTTCTATACATCTCGCTGTATCTCGAAACACTGAGATCCTTCAGAATCCACGGATTTATCACTAAAGCCCGGTTTAAGCTCGATAGAACGTCACGACGTAAACACTGCACAGGGACGAGGGCACACCGTGATCCAACATCCGGAACACAAGACGCAAAGAATTACGATTCACAATGTATCCTCGCGAGAGTTACCAATCTAACCGAACGAGTTTAGCGAGCGAACCCCCGAGGGACTCGAATTCGCGATTCACCGTCGAGTTCGCGCGCGCCCCGCCGTCGAACTCGCGCTATCTTTCACGGAAATTGTCAGGAAGTTCACGCGATCGCGATGCGGCGCTCGCACGGGCCCGCCGATCGCGAGGCAATCTCACGAGGCAACACAACGGGTTCGCGTGTGCGCGCGCGCGCGCAGGCGCTCACGCTCGCGCGCCTCGGGGTAGGCGTTATCGGGGGGATGAAGAGACGGACTGCGAGCAATCCGTGCGGGGGTTAATCGGCTGTGAGACCGAGGAGAACAGGGCGGGAGGGTAAAAAGGGCGAGAGGACGAATAACGAGACACCGCGGAGCCGCGAGGAGAGCGCGGCGTAGGGCCCCGATAGAACGCGGAACGTGGGCACCGCGAGGAAGAATGTCGCCTTCCCGAGGGCTGACCTGACTCGACTGAACCGAGCCGGTCCCAGAACCTCGCCGCTGCCGGGAGAGGCATTCTTCGGGCTGGCTGACGCCGTCCCTCTCCGATCCATCGGGCCCTCTTTCTCCCCTTCCGCTGCGCCCTGTCCTCCTCCCGTACCCTGCATCTCCGTTCTCCCTCTCTCTCCCGCTCACCGTCCGTACCTGCGCCCCGGCCGCCCCGCGCAAGGCCTATCGATATCACCTTCTCTGTCCGCTCTGAGAAACACACCGTGCGGTTCCACCGCGTTTCCTCGCTCCCCGACGGTCCCACTCGCTCCCTCCAACAACATCGCACCATCCCTTTCCGTTTCTCTCTCCCTCCCTGTCTTTCGTGTCAAGAAACGTTCGATCTTCTATCCCGGTCACTCTTCCCTTCCCCGAATGCTCATTTTCTTCGCTCTTTACCTCGGTTCTCTTTCCCATCTCCCATCCTCCCTCCTTCCCGTTCTCCTCTCCCCTCTACCATTTTGCCATACCACTGCCTATATCAGAATACGGGCCTCTTTGTCCGACGCGCATGGGGCCAGCCCTCCTCTTTCTCTTTCTCCCACTTGCTCTTTCCTGAGGCCCGCTGCCTCGCGATCATGGGCCCCGTTCTCCTCCCCCACCCTCTCGCTCGACTCACCTCTCCAGCTTTCCCTCCTCGCCATCTTCCACGCGCGATTCTTCCACCTTCGACTCGCCTCGCGCATCCCGCCGTCGTCTCGCTGAGATATTCTCCCTTTTGCCCTCGAGGAACGAGCAATGCGGAGGCTCAGGTATGCAAGATGGCCGCCGCACTCTGGAGCCCCGTGCGACGAGGACGTTGCTTCGCGTTGACGGGAACGAGAGAGACGTAGCCAGAACAAGAGGGACGTCGAGTGGACCGGAGAAAGAACACGAGAACGAGAAAGAGAGAGAGAGAGAGGAGGAAGAGGAAAAAGAGAAAAAAAACGAAAGAGGAAGAGAGAGAGAGGGAGTAAGAGTAACACGAGGACCAACGAGAAAAAGGGCGACGAGGACGGAGAACGAGAGATGAATAATGCGTGGGGGAGGAGGGGGGAATACCTGGAAGGGCGAGCGGGGGGACACCCCGACTTAGGGGATGCAGGCTGCCACGCGGAGGAACATCGGGACGTCAGCAGGGTGGGGCATGAAAGGCGGGGCGAGGGGGGGGTGATCCGCGGGATCCGGACTCACGGCCTGTGTGTAGATATATATCCGCGGGCCTATAGTCACTTTTATAATCCGTTACCCGCGATCGAGTGTTCCGCTCGATTCCTTCGATCCTCTTTCCTTCGAACTAATTCACCGTCTCGAGTTCCCCCTTCTCCCCCCGTCCCCTTCTCTCACTCTGTCTACTTTCCTCCTTCCTTTTTTCCCATGTATCTACGTAGTTTACTCGCTCGCTGGACCGTTGAGTCCCTTTAATCTAGTTTACTGGGTACAATACGGACGTGTACGCTGGCTGGCGCTTTGATAATGGGACCTTTGGAACCTACAAGAGCTACAACCGAAAATAAAATAATAGAGTTGCCGTGCTACTCCGCGTGGCAACCAAGTGTCACGCCACGCAAAAATGCGCCTCGCTGCGGAATTCGGCCGCGCGCATCTGACTTTGCAATGGTCACATATGGTCCGGCTTATGGTTTAGAATCCCAATTCGAAACCCAGAAAGAAGAATGAGAATATTAACCGGTGCCCACTCTTCATATACATGGAATCGAGATATGTTGATGAAGAAATCGATCAGTGACCGTAATGATAATAAAAATAATGAGTCAATCAAAATCAAAGATAGGAAACAATAAATAATATCAAGTAATCCATCAAAGTCTATCGATAATTGAAGAATCAATTGTTATTAACGTCTCAACATTCAGTAATATTTTCGTCTGTTTACTTTAATTTAAAAAGTGCAAGTGAAGAGGCACACAAGTCCATTTTAAGCTCCAACCGAAGATCGAACGAATTTAAAGAATTTATTTTGTTGCAAAGATCGAGAATTGTATAACATAAATTATAATATGAATTGACTTACGCACTGAAAAAAATTTCTGGTTGAATATGGACGAATCAGATAATTCCTTTAGGATTTACCAGAATTCCTTTAGGATTTACCAGAATTTCTGTAGGATTACAGGAATTCTGGTAAATCCTAAAGGAATTATCTGATTCGTCCATATTCAACCAGAAATTTTTTTCAGTGCGTGCACACAGAAATCCGATCTTTTTTTTCCGGCTCTCCTTATTCCTTTTATTCGGCGGAGGAGACAGATCGCTTTGGACCGACTCGCTTTACGTGGACTTAGATAAGAATGAGTACGAGTACTTTCTCGAATGAGTGGTCCGCCGAAGAATAGGGAGAGACGCGGCTCCTTATCGGATGATGGACGAGTCGCCTTCCTTCGGTCTGAAATATCAATGAAAATTGGAGGGCGTTTTATTGATAATAGGTGACAATGCGCCAAACAACGCGTTTCGCGCTATCTTTAGGTTTATAGGACTCCAAGGTAAAATGCATCCGTTCCACTCTTGAGTCGCGTTAAGTCTCCGAACGTCCGTCTTGTCAAGGAATCGTACGACATGCACCGACAAGTAATTTTCTGCATGTCAAATAATTTATAGTTATATAGCAAAATATACGTAAAATATAAATATATATATTTTACGTATCGATATATATATATATGTATATATATATATATCGATAAAAAATTATTTATTAAGAATTACGGATGAGAAATAATTCACCTATCTTATTTAATTTTATAATTAGTTAGGTAAATTTTAGAAAATAAGATTTATACCTATTATTAGAGAAAGATTCTATATTATGAGATACGCTTGTAATATGAGCTAGCAGGCTTTCAACATGAAAATGTTATCACAAATCATAATTCACAACGAATACATGATCTAATAATGAATTTTCCGCTAAACAGATTTCACTCCAAGGGCAATAAATTCACGATCAAACTAATAGATGTTGCCTATTAATTTAGCAAAAACCTGCTATCTCATATTAGAAGCTCATAATAGGGGACTTTCCTCTATGTGTTTCTCATGCTCCTTATCTTGAAATTGACTTCCTGTTTTGTAAATTATAAAACAATGGTACATATTATATTAATTTTAACTCTTCTACATATCTTTATTTCATTCATCACCTATTTAATTTAATACTTATTTGGTTCGTTCTTTATACCTGAACTGGTTGCACTAGTTCAGAGTTTATCTTTCTCTTTTCAATGTGAAGAGAAAAAGATAAACTCTAAACTAGTGCAGCCAGTTTAGTTAAAAAGAACAGACGCATCACAAGCCTGCGCTAGCTAAAAAATTTAGATATAAATTATGAACGCAATTGAAAGTGTTGATTCTACGTGAGGATATAAGTAGATGTACCACAAAATTTTGATATTGCTAGTACTTGTCCTTACAAAATTAATGATTACTCGAAAATCTAAGAAATTATATTAATAGATATTAATATATTTTTCAAGACCTGAATACTTTAATTATTTTCAAGACTTATTAAACTTAAACGGTCCATCTTAGGTGTAAAAATAATCTTGATAAATTATGTAGAACTATGGACAAAATATACAATATAGTTAAGATTGTAGTGCAATTAATACGATAATATGATAAACGATAATATAATTGTATTTTGAAGTAGATAGTAATTTTAAGTAGCGATCATTTGTTATCCGAGAGAAATAAATTGAAATTTGGTTCGTAGACTTGTCTCTCGAAGGATGCAACACAGGACGTTGAATCGCATGATTAATATCCTGCGTTCCGCCGCGATAACGCGCACGTGCATACGCCATTTGTTGTTCCGCGATATTAGAAAGGTCACGACCCAGGGTAGGAGGCGGAGGAATCCCGACATTTATCCGGATATAGAAAAGCCGTGACACTCTGTGCGCCGAAATCATCAATTACATTAATCCTCGCATATATCGAGCTTCTCGAACCCTGAAGATCGCGATATACGATCCTGATTGAGGAGAACGATTATACGAATCCTTGTATCCATATTGTTGACAAGATCACGCAAACTCTGCTGAACTATCTAATAATATGTGACAAATAAAATATATTCATTACGTTTATAAATAATACTTTTATAATGAATATTTTTCAAAAAATCACCCATGTACGTAATACGTATTTCTTTCAAATACAATTAAAACGCACATACCTATAAATTATATCAAATAACGCAGACATTTGAATTACTACATCTTTTGCGGGAAAAGCTCATGGTATAAGATTTCATAGCGCGATTGACAGATTGCAACATCGCATTGCATCCGAGCAGAAATCCGATCGTTCTCAACGTGGGTGTACAAGATCGTCGGCATCGAGCACGATTGCTTTTCGCAATAGAGCGAACGAGCTTCTCGGGGATACACAGTGAGAAATTGGCAGAAATGTCCCAACAGCTTATTTTGCGGGCGTGTCCCGTCGTAAATACACAGCCGACCGTTTCTCACGTGAAACACCCTTATTTCTGGCCTCGTTTACGAACATAAAAAAATACGCGAATTACAAGCATTTAAGATTAATTTTGTAATGTTAGAAACATTAATGTTCGTTTACAAGATTAAGTTTATGAATATTATAAATCTAAGTTTATTCATATGTCGCAATACTTTATTACGAGACACGGTAGTGTCTCGCGCCAAGTATAAGCGTAGCTAAAACTGCGCGTAGAATAAACGCCCCTAGTAGCACAGTGCATGGACCAAACATTGATTAAACATTGGCCCAATATTTCGTTGTATTGGACCAATGTTTAATCAACGTTTGATCTATGTACTGTGCCACTAGGAATGCGCTCACATACACGTACACACTAATATAAGTTTTAATCTTTCTTCCCGTAAAATTTGTACACCCACACACATAAAGTACTTTAAAATTATATTAATAAAATTGATATAATTTGGAAGTAATTTCTTATTATTTTTCTAAATTCTTTATCAAAGATTTTATAGAGCTCAAGAGGGAATTTACTCATCGTCAGAACGTAGAAATTTGTTATTGCTGTAAGAGAGAACACTACTATATTTGTATCGAAATATTTGTTGGACGATTCTTTAGAAATAGAGTAAAATAAAAAAGATAATTATGACAATGTTCATATAGTATTTTAATAGAATGTCTTTTGTTACTGCCCACAACAGACTTTGATAAAACTCGACTTGCAAAGCCCAGTACGAAGGAAACTATTATTTCTGTGTTCCTTTGACTATTACGCGTGGGCTTGCTTACAATTAGTATTGAAACATAGACCCTGTAAATTGAACAGTTCTCACTTTGCTGACAATGAAATAACATTCCTGTTAGAATTATCAAAGAAAAATTAATAAATTTCTATTTAATAACGTTTTAATACCTGAAATGTCAGTTTTATTAACAAAATATACATCTTTGTATATTTTTAATACAAAAAGATAATTATTAAAAACCGGCAGTTTCAATAAATTATATTATATCTTGGGTGCGCCATAAGCATCGGGCATCCTTTCTATTGTAAATCTATGCTGAGATATATACATTATTGGTACACCTGGTATCTTTCGTATTCTTCTTTTCAAATCTTTATCATTTGTTGCAACGATATAGCACTTATGCTGAAATAATGACACAAAGTATAATTTACTTTTATCTGTATACGGTCTATATATGGTAAATTTATATTACCACTATCTAAAAAAAATTGGTTAATACAATAAGATATAATCTGTACTTACTTGTGTTACTCTGTTAACGAGACAATCATCAGCATAGGTTCCCTTGTGCATACACTTTAATCTTTCGAATCTTGGATCCTTGATGATTCTTAATGCCAATTTATACTTCTGTCCAAGCTTCTCTAACTCGCCAATTACACAGTCCGTTATATACGGCGTACATTTTGCATAGAGGCATTCCATCATGTTCTGTATTATGTCTAATTTGTTTTTAATTGCGAAGTTAATGAAGTTTGTGTCAACTAAAATATGATACGGTGGTCCAAGCTGCATGTTATATTGGAAGAATAATGCAGAGGATTGTTGTGGCCTAAAAAAGAAAACAAATACTACATTAGCGCCAAAATGCAAAGCACCATCTTTTATGATAAATAATCATTTCGTATCGTGTAAAGATATATAAAAAATAATACAAAATGTCAGACTATATATAATATTATTTACGCTTCAGTGATTTTTATTTTAGTCTTATCTTCCTTCGGAGTTTTCTTTGATGGCAGCCGCTGCTCTGGCTTTCTGTAAAAAGAAATTGATTTAAATGTTTTCGTACACGATTTACAAAGACATAACGATGACTTGTCCAAGACCATCATAAGACATCAACTTACATTCGCGAATCGCTCAGACTAATCATCCTTTTCATCTGAGCAAATCTCTGCATCACAACTTTGCGCGTTTTCTTATTTTTCCCCTGCAACATATAATTTCACGGTAATTGTTATACATAAACATAATTTAATATGATTATAATATCACTGTACAATGTCTTTCTTTACATTAAAATACAATGTAACTGTAATCTCTTAATGCTCGCTTCATAGGACATGTTGACTGATATTGAACCGACAAAGCAGTCACTTGTTGAGTAAAGGCTTTGTACAAAGCACTTGTGTATCGTTGAATGCATATTTTTTTCCAAGTAATATAATAACTATTGTGGCAATAGAAATTACATACTTGATATTAATAATGTTATTAGAAAGTAGCAGCAATCTTTATTAACGACATATAGATTTTCATCTTCTGACAGTACAATATTTTATTTTCTAAGAAATAGCCATTACTTAAGTAGTGACAAAATGTAAGTAATATTGTTAAATTTGCGACATGAATTAACCACTTATATAAATTAACACTTGTTTCAAAACCAGTAAACTTAACATATAAACTAAATCACTAGAAAGCGAAGATAAAATATGCTATGCAATTTAACTGTAATATGTGTAAGCTAACCGCTAAGAGAAAGCAATTGACAATTTTTATCGTTTAATGCATTCAACGAGCAACTGCTTTGCCCAAATCGATTTACGACTCATATTCTCTTCCACAAATGCATGCTTAATGTTCATTTCTATCATTATAGATCAATATAGAATAGATCAACTTTAATCTCGTTCTAAGAATAAGAAGATAAAGAATAAGTTAAACCGAGATCAAAATTAATTGGCACTGATAGACGTTCATACTTTAATTTGCCTGGTGAAATGCACATTTATTTACAAAAATGCTCTTACCATTGTAGTTTCTGTGGACGACTATGTGTATGTAGTGTTGAATCCTTCGTGGAAAAAACTGCAATAATTAACATATACAATAAAGTATAAGAGACTTAAAAACTTTGTAATAAACAATTAATCTACTATAAAAAGCACGTGCGGACAACCGTTAGGTTAGAAGCGAAAGGAAACATTACTTTCTCAAGTTGTGGAAACTTGAAATGCTTTCGACGCATCCAAAGGCTTAGATAGCACACACGTCCTTTTCTCTTTTCATCTACAGATGTATTTTCAGTCTATTAATTGAAAAACATAGCTTGGAGTAACGTAAATTAGAACTTAACCTATTTTTTAGAAGGAGTCGATCCTCGTAGTATATAACCTTTAAAAAAGAAATAGGAGGTATCTAAAACACCCGAAAGAAATTCCAAAAAAAGGCAAGAATCTTCCTGGTTGTGCCAGAAAAGAACAAAGAGAGAAGCTCGATTAAAAACTCAATATAAATTTCTGCACGCACACCTTATCGAAGACTTTACAGAGAGAAAGCTGAGAGCTGCGCTTGCGCTGCTACGTTCCTCGAATGCGCCCTCTGGGAACGTTGGAAAACGTGGACATGAACTACGTAGCCAATGTCCACATTTTACCAAGTGGGTAATGCAGATTTACGAAATTTTGTATTAAAAAAATCGTACCCTTTTTGCCAACACAATTTGTAGTAGATTGCTCTCGATAAACTTGGTTGTCTACATATACATTTTATTGTAAACTTGAAGATTTGTTTAGGTTGAGAATTTTATTGTAACTTTGCATTTTTTTGGATTATAAATAAAATGACGCTTCTCTTTTACATTTGAATTACAGTTTTATCCGATAAAAACAACCACCTTACAGAGGCCCTCCACCACCCCCGCCGAATTCTTATAATACGATGTTTAAACGTATCGAATTTTTTATTTAAGAGAAGAAAAAGGTATGAAAAAAATTACATCGCGAAAGATCTTCTGCAAAGGATCTTCGCGCGACAATAAACTTTTATAAAATTTCAACTTTTTCTTCTTTTCTGATTATTAATTCAAAGTCACAGTGAAATAAAATGACTCGATAATAAATTGGAAAACAAATTAATTGTACATACACACAAAATAAAAAATAATGCGCGAAAATTAAGTTGACGCGAGAATAAATGCATAAATAATTCTACTCACCAGAGAGTTGCTCCGCTGTCGCCCGATGCCTGCCAGGCCGCCACCTCCTCTCAGACTCCTCTATTTCACACTGGTACAACAGTACACTCGCGCAAGAGGAGCTACTTACGATCGCGCGCGCTAATTACCGAAGTAACGCACGACACGGCACTCCCGGTGTTAATCGACGTGGACTCTACTGCAACGAGAACGAGAGAGCGAGAGGCGCAATTGCGCGCGAGAAAATACGAGCCGCGTCTGACGAGGTGGCGTCGTGCGAATTGACGCCCAATGAGAAATAATTCGTCGATCGTCATCGATGGACGAGTCATTTCTCACTGATTGTGAGCGGCAACGTTCTGGCGGCAGGGACTCGCGGACGTACGCGCAGCCAACTTCACGCGCGTCGCGAAAAGGGGAACCGAATGCGTGTGCGTTCGACGGGGCGATTTCGCGCGAACGTTCCTCTCGCCGCGCATCGCGCGTGGGAAACTCGGGTATTGCTGCACGCGCGAGGAGATGAGAATTAAAACCGAAGAGCCCGGTGTACTCGGGGCGCGCGAAGACACGACGACACCGTAGCGACGCCGACCGCGCGAGACACTTCGGCCGGGATTCCGCAGATTTACGCGTCCCGATGGATTACCGACGCGTCAAGTCGAATCTACGTCGCGCGACTGTTACGCCGGACAATGGAGCGAACTTACCGCGATTGTGCGTACCGCGAAACGCGACGACCAACTCACGGGACCGATCCGCTGCGTGTCCACGGGCTCCTCGAACGGATCAACATGGCGCCGGTTCCCGGCGGCCACTGCGCGGCGCTACAACGGCGGTGCTACGCGAGTCAAGTCAACGACGAGATGTATCTGGAAAAAACGCGCTCACTCGGAAAATATGCACGTTGACGACGCAATCGACACCTTCGCGGGTCTCCTCACGATTTACTCAACTTCACTTACTTATTTGTATTGGAACTTTCGCCTCGCGCTACTCGTCCAGGTGTTTGTGTGAGAGAGGATTGAAGAGGGCAAAAGAATTGCACTAGATTTGATATCACTTTTTCTATATTTTACACAGTGAATATTCGAACTTGTGCGTTGCGCACCGGCTTGACGAACACAGTAAGAAGAAGGCGGATGTACGTTCTCGCCCTCTCGACGTTTTCGCTAATACTAATAATCCCGAATAGAACCAAGGATACCCGAACGCCTCTATCCGAACTGTAGCGACGCTCGCAAAAGTACGGTGTCATTGCTTTGATACAACTTTCTTATGACCTATTCGTGATGACGCGACAAACCGACTGCCTCAATAATTTGTTTAAAGGGAGGCGAGCACGATTCGACGGTTTCCACTTTCCGTATCTCGAACGAGGTACGTTCTCCGAGAAGGACGAACACGACGTCCCACGGTACTCGCGGAATCGAAGAGCTCGATCGCGGCTGTAGCATCGTTTAACTGCGCGAGGGACGATCGCGCACTTCGTCCCGTGACACTCGTAACCGGCGGTTCGAACGACAGCGCGACTCGCGTCCCTTCTCGTCTCGACGCGCAGCGGCCGCGGCGGCGCGAACTACGCGAGTCGACGGCGCGTTGGAGAATCACTTCGATTTCGCTCGCGCGATGCGTCCCGAATAAGTGCGCAAATACGCGCGAGAAATACGAACGTGTTGATGCGCAATCGATATCCTCGCGGCTCTCCTGTACTCAAATGACCGTGATAGATTCGTCTCTAATGTAAATAACTCTTGTACGAGACGATCGCGTTGCGTAGACGATCGAGATTCTCGTAGGAGATGATCGCGACGCGAAGACACACGGAACGTCCGTCTCGCTCGACTGATCCGCGCGGACTGATTCGGCTCAATAGATTGTTTTTCGACCGAGGTCGGTCGGGCGCTACGTCATTTCTCGGAATCTCGGCTCGGCGACCGAATTGTTTACTACGTTACGTTTTTTTCGTTTTTTTGGAATCCGCGCTCGGTGTTCGGCCGAGGTGTTTACGGCGCCGTACGCAAGATCATTCACGCGACGACGGTCGAACGAGTCGGTTGTGTCCGCGCCGCTCCGTATGTCGTATTATTATTTCTCGATACGCGTTCGCGACAAGTACGGGAAGAAACCGCGATCGCTCTCTGCGAATAATCGGCGAACGATATCATCGCGTGATCGCAGAACTTTGCCATCTATCCTCTTAGCCAACAAGACAGATATCATAAGCTGGGTATACATTTACGAAACGAACGCAGAACGAACAACGAAAGCGAACGTTCGTTGTTATTATTCGGCAGATGTATACGCCGAAGCAAATGCGAGCAGAATGTTCGATTCGCGTTCGGCTCGATTCCCTCATGAGGCGGTACATCAAAGATAAAGGGAACGAACGCCTTCAGAACACGAACGCGATCTCCAAACGTTCGCATTCGGTGTTCGTTCGTAGATGTATACCCAGCTTAACGCGATTCACACGTGAAATCTACAACAACCAAGAATCAAAGCGCTAGCTAACTTGAAATTACTTTTTCATTGCGATTATTACGGACAATAATTGAAGACATTGCTGCAAGAAAGAGGCAAGTCCACATTTTGGCGAAAATGATGTTTTAACATCATTATATGCAACGTTCCAAGCCCGAACGATTGGTGTAAGAACGACGTACGTAAGTGCATTGTTAGTTAAATAAACTGAGATTTTTGGACTTGCCCCCCTAAGCAGATTGGTGCAAGAACGAGGTAAGTCCGCACTTGCCTCTGTGCCACAAAAACATAAAATGTGGACTTGCCTCTTTCTTGCAGCAATGTCTTCAATTATGTCCCGATATTTACAGAATAATGATCATCGTAGAGATAAAAGTACAGAATTGTCCCTTATATTTACTGCTAGATGTAATCTGTGAACGCGTGTTTTATACGAGTCCTAAAATGATGTTAACGAAAAATAAGTGATAACTAATTACAATGTACTAGATTTGTACTGCATATACGTTTTCCATTTACTCTCTTGTATCCATTACTTTTCTGAAGCGCTTGTTTTAACGTATCGAGCGAGCGATCATTCAGTGAGATCCGCATTGGTAAATACATGTGTATTAAAATGTAATGCAGATAATGCAGATACTAACCATAAGTTGCGTTATGTCTTTTGTAATATTATCGGCCAATCGATTTTGTCAGAAAGTTTAACAGTTTATATTGACCGCATCTAGCAAAAGAAATCAGCTGTTGATTTTTT